CCCAGTCTCACTCCCCCACGCAGTCACCCACTCCCCTACTGGTCATTGCACATAGCGCTGATCAGCTGGAGCTGCACGCACCAATCCTGGGGCCTCTCCAGAGGCCCGGCAGCCCTGGAGCTCCAGCTGACTCTATCACCCTAAGGCCTGTCTGCTGCTCCCGGTGATAGCAGAGGCCACTAGAAGTGCTGATCAGCTGGAGCCGATCAGCTGGAGCCCACTAACACTGCAGCTCCAGCTAACTCTCCCCTAGGCCTCTCTGGTGCTGCCACCACTTCAGCTCATCCCCCATCCGCTACACTTGTCTAGGTCATGTACCACCTGCCAGGTGCTGAAATACCACCAGTGGTATGTGTACCACCCGTTAAAAAGTCCTGGGTTAAATGATTGTAAGACTCATGAAACTGGAGAAAGGATTCCCCACCAGTTTACTGGATAGAAAGAGAAAGATGATGGAGAAAATGCTTATGCCAAAGATCCATCACAGGAAGCCACACATGTCTTTAAAGACCCTCCCACAGAAAGGAGAACAACTTGTACTTACTATTCCAGCAAGGACCAGGAATATCCACTAATCAAGGACCACAATAACCGTGGTCTGGACAGAATCCCTAACCAGTATTGTTACCAGAGCTCAAGAATGGATTGAAATTGAGACAGCAATTTCTTAAGTTGACTTCATTTTCGGTATATTTCAGCACAGGAAACAAGCAGTTTATGGCTACCATGCATAAGAACCCCATTACTCTTTCCCGTTTTACCCAGAAGACTATGCTTTCCTTCTTTACTGAGAAAATTAATAGAAGGAGCTTTGGGAAGCAAAAAAGGCCTTTATTGAGGCTCTGAAGACCGGTGGGAATAGCCTGGTGGGCAGAACAAACAATTGTACAACTGACAACTGAGAATCAAACCAACAATGATCATGTTGTTTATGCGGCTGGGAAAAAATGCATTCCAAAATGCAGTGCAAAAAAGAAAAGAGTAGATTTCTTTCTGTTACTCCCTTTAAAATATTTTCTGTTTTTTAACTATTTCTATTGTATCTGGGCTAATGTGAATGAAATTATGTATGCCACCCTTAGAACTAATGCATATCTCCTTCAATCTGAGTCATTGCTGTATAAATAGAAATCAGATGAGTACTACTACATTGCAACATCTCTATTGTTTAATTGATCCACAGTATTTTGAAGGCAGTCGTAAGTTCATACTCATCCCTGCTAATCTCAGGATGATGAGAAAAGGGAACACCATGAGTCAGTTGGTTAAACCAAGAAAAGAATGGGGGGGGGGGGAATTCCTACCATTCAATTGGTGCCTCCTCTCTAAATTATGGTAACTCCTGGAGTAATAAAAGTATTTTCCTTTCCCCCAGGGTTTTCAATTCATGCTATGAACTGGAAAAAAAAGTAAACTGTTAGTATGAGGATAAAGTTGCATTATAATCAAGACTTCATTGTTCCTGCATATGAATTTTCATTTAAGACTGTCATGATGACACAATACTGTAATTTTTCAGTTTTTCCCAACAGCTGCAATCAAGGTTGTGAGTTGCAGTGTGGAATCTCTGTGTATCAGAGTAATCAGAGTGTGTGTGAGAGACAGAAAGACCTGGGAGGGGGGGCATTAGGCTCAGAGGCTGGGCTATCATGAAACATTGAGACAAGAATCTGGAACAAGCTGTTAATATGAGCAGGGAAAATCAAGCTGTTTTGTTTTTCTTTTTACTGCAATTGTAAAACTGAGTAGAAACTGAGCAAAGGTATTAAAATCACATTTGTTGATATTGTAGAGAGGACACTTTGTTAGTTCTTACTGCCCCCCCCACAAAACCCCCCCTAGAAAGATCAGGAGTCTAATAGCACATTTTCCAACTAATGTTTTACTAAAAGGCATAAGCTTTTATGAGCTGCAGCTCATTTCATCAAATTTGGACCACAGAATTTCATTTCGTCACATTGATCACTAAAATGTGTTGTTGGAAAAGGTGCTAGCATATTCCTCCTGATTATTTGCTGATGTAGTCTCCTGTGAAACCTACTAGAGAACTCCAAATGTAGCTACTCCGATCTCTATGGCAGTCTAAGACAACCTGTGAGGGAAAGGCAAGGGTTGGAGCAGAA